TTTTTTTTTTTTTTTTTTTTTTGCACTAACAAAATAAACAACAAAACTAGTACTTTCATGGCATTTTCCACCCCCTCTTGGAAGTCCCCTTGGACACCTCTGTCTCAGGTACCCTTCGTATTCAGCCTCCCCCATGGCAATGTTTAGGAAAATTAATTTGCGATCACACCAGGGTATTGACATCCACACCCGGGCTCGTGTACTTGCTTGGGGTGGGGGAGACAAAGAGAAAATGAGAAATCACCCTCCGGGGGGAAGACCACACCACAATCCCTTCTCCTCCATTCTCCTCTTGGGATTTTGGGCACACACATGCCTGGCATGTTTTTCATTTTCTTTCTCTCTCTTTCTCTTTTTTTTTTTTTTTTTAAAGAATTATTTTATTTTTCTTTCTTTTTTTCTTTCTTTCTTTCTTTTAATTTAACCAGAAGGGATGGGGGAGGGGAGTGAGAAAGCAAACCGCCAGGTCCAGGACTTGAACTGCAGTCAGCCATGTAGAAGTCCAGCGTCCTTAACCACTACGCCACCTGCTGGCCCCTCTGTCTTCTTTCTTTCTTTTCGATTTTTGTTATAAGGCGTGTGCACTTGCCCAAGAGAAGGGAGAGAGAGAGAGAAAGTGAGAAATCACCCCCTCCAGGGGGATGACCATGCCACAATTCTCTCTCTATTCTCCTTTTGGGATTTTGGGCACGCCCATGCCTGGCAATGGTTTTCATTTTCTTTCTCTTCTGTTTTTGTTTTTAAAGGTTTTTCTTTTAAGAATTATTTCATTCAACCTTATTTCTTTCTTTTTTTTTTTTTTTAAGGTTTTTCTTTTAAGAATTATTTTATTCAACCTTATTTATTTAATTATTTTCCCTTTAATTCGACCAGAGAGAGAGAGAAAGTGAGAAAGCAAGCCACTGGGTCCGAGACTAGAATCAGTTGAGAGTCCAGCGTCCTGAACCACCCTGGCACCCTGCTGGGCCTTTTTAGATTTCTGTCATAGGACACCTGCACTTACCAAGAGGAGAGGAGACAGCGAGAAAGTGAGGGGGTGGCCACACTGCAGTCCGTCCTCCTGGGATTTTAGGCGCGCGGGCACACACACCTGGCATGACTTTCATGCCACCAGTCTGAGACTTAAACCACAGTCCACCATATGAGATCCAGCACCGTCCCCACCACTGCACCCGCTGGCCCACCTATTGCAGTGTAAGAGGCTTATTTTCAAGTTGGCATAATGACTATGTTGCTGGACTCCCATGTAGTGGACCGCGGTTCGAGTCCCGGACCTGGTGGCTTCAACTCACACTGGGCGCGTGTGTGTGCGTGCACAAGCCCTGGAGAGAAAAATGGAGGAGAAGGGATTGCGGCGTGGCCATCTCGCTTTCTCTCTGTCTCTTGTCTCTCTCTGACCCATGGGCCCTATAGCAAAAACAAAAACAAAACCTCTCCAAAAGGAAAAAAAAAAATAAAGATGCCTATTTCCAAGTCAGGTCCTGTTCTGGCCTTCCTGGGAAGGTCACGAATGGGAGGAGGCCCTTGTTTCCCCCCCACAAGTGCAAACACGACCCCTTTCGCGCCCCTCCCCCCCCACCCAGGGGCGGTCACAGGAGCGAGGACGAGCGCGTGCGCGCTTCCCCGGACGTCTTGGAGGCCGTGGCGCCCCCTGGCGGTCGGCCACAGAGCGCTGCCCGCACCTTGTCCCTGAACTCGGCCGACACGTAGTAGTACACGAACGGGTCCACGCAGCTGTTGAGCGTGCTGAGCGCCAGGCTGGGCACGTAGGCGCCGTACAGGTCGCCCCAGGCTTCCGGGCTGGGGTTGGAGTAGTGCAGGAGCAGCAGCACGTTGCTGGGCGCGAAGAACCCCACGGCCGAGGCCAGCACCAGCGCCGTGAGCCGCAGCGCGTGGCCGTAGCGCTGGCCGCCGGCCGCCAGCGCGCGCAGGGTGGCGCCGTAGCACAGCGCCATGGCCAGCAGCGGCAGGAAGCAGCCCAGCAGGGCCAGGCAGGTGAAGGCCGGCCTCCAGTAGGAGGCCTGGGCGTCCAGGGGCAGCACGTCGTGGCAGAGAATCCGATCGGAGTCCGCCAGCCGGAAGGTCTGCTGCTGCAGGGCCAGGGGCAGCGCCAGGGTGGCCGCGGTGAGCCAGGCGGCGACGCACAGCCCGGCGGCCAGAGGGCGGCCCCGGAGGACGCGGGAGCGCAGAGGGTGCACCAGGGCCAGGTAGCGATCGAGGCTGACGGCGGCCAGGAGCAGCACGGAGCCGTACATGTGGCCGTAGAGCGCGGCGGTGGCCAGGCCACAGGCGACCTCGCCGAAGGGCCAGCGCTGGCCCCGCACGTGGTAGATGAGGGCACCGCGGCGAGCAGCAGATCGGCGGCCGCCAGGTTCATGAGCAGCAGCGTGGACGGCAGCCGGGGCACCCGCGTGGCCAGCACCCACAGTGCCACCCCGTTGGCGGGCAGTCCCACCGCCAGCACCAGCCCGTAGAGGGCGGGCACCAGGCTGGTGATCACCCAGCCCAGCAGCAGCGCCTTGGAGCTGTTGGGGATCACCACCGTCTTGTTGGCTGACAGCAGGCCTGGGAAGCTGCGGGGCTGGCCTGAGGGGCCCCATGTGCTCTCTGCAAGGGACAGAGGTGACCACTCTCAGCTGGTGCCACCGCCCTTGCCTGGAGGGTAGGAGGGCAAGGGCGGTGGAGGCCCTCCCATCTAAGCCACCCCCTGGAGCTGAAGATGGACAGGGACGCTGAAGAAAATGGCCCAGAGACCAGCAGTTAGCATAATGGCTATGTCGCTGGACTCCCATGTAGTCCAGCAGTTCGAGTCCCGGACCCGGCAGCTTAAACTCACGCTTGGCGCGTGTGCGTGCGTGCGTGCCCAAGATCCCGAGAGGAGAATGGAGGAGAAGGGATTGCGGCGTGACCATCCCTCCTGGGGGGTGATTTCTCGATTTCTGTCTCTCTGTCTGTCTCTGTCTGGGGAGTGCATGCGCCCTATAGCAAAAACCTATCAAAAAAAAAAAAGAAAAGAAAAGGAAGAAGAAAATGGCCCAGTCCCATGGGATCAGGACAGAGGCAGCGGGATGGGAAGGACTGGGCTCCCCCGTCTCTGACTTCTGGGTCCCCAGCTTCCTCTGTGCTACACCCCCCGAGCAGGGCCCACAACACTCACCATTACCTCTTTCTTGGCTACCGACCTCACCCTCGTTGTCGTAGATACTGGGGGTCTCCGTGCCCCCCGCCAGGCTGAGCCCCTGCAGCCCCAGGGCCCACAGCAGTGGGAGCCCCTGCATGCTGGTCGGGCTGAGTTCTGCCGTTCTGGGATCCCTCCTGGGGCTTCCTGCCTCGCTGGACCCCCACCCGAGCTTCCGGAGCTGGGTGTCCAGAGTGAGATAAAGCCGGAAGTCGCAGCCCCTGTCCCCACAAACCCACGAGGGCCCAAGTGTGGGTGAGGGCAGCCGGCGGCTCTGGGTCACTCGGCCTAGCTGGGGCGCCTCGCCCAGAAATGTAGGTGCTGGGACTGCAGGGAGGGGCTTCTGGACAGCGGCCCCCACCCCGTCCAGCCAGGAAGCAGCTGCGGACCAAGTGGCTGCTTCCTGCAGGCCAGGCATATCTGCAGTTTCTGTTTCCACGACAGCCCTGCTCCCCAGGTCACCCCTGCTCCCGCGGGAGGCTCTTACTGAAGCTCCCCCACCCCACCCCCACTCTTCTTGTCTCCCTAGGTCAGAGGTCAGAGTGGGTGAGTGACACCCTGCTCCTAAGTACCCCTGAAGCTGTCCCAGAACCAGCAGTTGGCATAATGGCTATGTCGCTGGACTCCCATGTAGTCGACTGCGGTTCGAGTCCTGGACCCGGTGGCTTAAACTCACTGGCCCACCCCCACCCCCAGCCGGGCGCGTGTGCGTGCGTGCCCAAGATCCCGAGAGGAGAATGGAGGAGAAGGGATTGCGGCGTGGCCACCCCTCTGTGTGGGGCCAGCACGTGGCGTGGTGGTAGAGGTGCTGGACTCCCATGACGCTGACTACAGTTTGAATCCTGGACCTGGTAGCTTGCTTACTTTCCCTTTCTCTCTCTCTGGTCAAATTTTAAAAAATAAGAACAAATAAAATATAATTCTAAAACAAACAAACAAAAAAAACCACTTCCTGTGGAGTTACCAGGTGGCATGGTGGTTGAGGTGCTGGATTTCCATGAGGCCGATCAGTCAGTTTGAGTCCTGGACCCAGCAGCTTGGCACACACCCAGGGCGTGTGCGCATGCCCAAGAGGAGAACGGAGGAGTAGGGATTGGGTATGGCCATCCTCCCTGGGGGGTGATTTCTCACTTTCCCTCTCTCTCTGTCTCTCCAGTGAATGCACACGCCCTTATAGCAGAAATCTCCAAAAACAAAACAAAACAAGCACTGCATGCACTTAGGGGGTCAGTAGATGGTGTGGCTGAATCCCACATGGCTCACTGTGTGGTTCAAGTCCCAGACCCGGCGTCTTGAAAGACAAGCTGGGGGGCCGGCAGGTGGCATGGTGGTTAAGAGCACTGGACTCCCACATAGGCAACTGTGGTTCGAGTCCCGGACCTACAGGCTTGCTTTCTCCTCTTCCCTCTGTCTCTCTTGCTCTCAATGTATCCCTCTCTGGTCAAATTAAAATAAATAAGTGAATAAAGAAAGTTAAATAAAATAATTTTAAAAAAGAAAGAAAGACAAGTTGTGTGTGCGTGCGTGCCCAAGATCCCGAGAGGAGAGTGGAGAAGGGATTGCGGCGTGACCATCCCCCTGGGGGGTGATTTCTCGCTTTCTGTGACGTGGCCATTTCCTGCCTCCAGGACCTCTAATCTAGTCACACACTTGAGGACTCTGGACCAGCCAGGAAGTGAACAAGCAGAGTCCTAATGGGGTCAGTCCTTCCTCCCTTCCCCCGGCACAGGGAGGGGAAACTGAGGCCTGGGGGTTGCCGGAGGGGGCAGGGGGCTCAACCGGAAGCCTCTCCCCTGCGTCTGGACAATCCCCACCGACGCCCCAGGGCTAACACAGCCCGACGTGCGTCTTTCTGTGATGCACACCCCGGGGTGCTCGTTCAGCAAAAAGGAAAACCAGGCTGGGAGCCCCGCCCCTTCAGTGTGAGTGGGCGGGGCCCATGCTGGGGGCGGGGCGCCTGGGACACCGCGCAGGACGCCGGGCGGGGCCGTTTGGCATTTGCCCATCGACGGTGACGCACATGCTCTTAGACTCAAGGAGGCCGTGTCTGGGAATTCACGCCAGACACACACGCCCAGGAAGGCGCCTGCACGAGGGCATGCACAGCCGCACGGAGCGGGTGCACCGCTCAGCCTCTCTGTGGACCTGCCTGTGGGAAGGGAGGCCCCAAAGAGGATCCTGGCGTTTTCTTTTTTTTTTAAATAATTATTTATTTAGGACCAGTAGTTGGCATAATGGCTATGTCGTTGGACTCCCACGTAGTCGACTGCGGTTCGAGTCCTGGACCCAGTGGCTTAACAGGCGTGTGTGCGTGCGTGCCCAAGATCCCGAGAGGAGAATGGAGGAGAAGGGATTGCGGTGTGGCCATCCCCTCTGGGGGGTGATTTCTCTTTCTGTCTGTCTCTCTCTGGCAAGCACACGTACTCTATAGCAAAAACCTCTTAAAAATAATTATTTAATTTATTCATTAATTTATTTTAATTTGACCAGAGAGAGGGAGAGGAAGGTGAGAAAGCAAGCCACCAGGTCCAGGACTCGAACCATGGTAGTCATGTGGGAGTCCAGCACTGTAACCACCATGCCTTCTGCTGGTCCCTCGTGATTCTTTATACTGTTGGGATTTTCTGTACTGAGTCTTACTTTCCATAAAATCTCTGGCCACACCACAGTCCCTTCTCTTCCATTCTCCTCTCGGGATTTTGGCCATGCACGCATTCGTGCCTAGTGTGAGTTTCAAGCCACTGGTTCCGGGACTCGAACCATGCTTGGCCATGTGGGAGTCCAGCAACGTAACTGCAACGCCATCTGCTGGTCCCTTTATTTTTAAAGTTTTTGCCATAGGGTGCATGCGCTCTCTGGAGAGACAGTGAGAAGGAAAGTGAGAAATCACCCCTGGGGTATGGCCATGCTGCAATCCCTTCTCCTCCATTCTCCTCTCGGGATTTTGGCCATGCACGCATTCGTGCCTAGTGTGAGTTTCAAGCCACCGGGTCCGGGACTTAAACTGTGGTCAACCATATGGGAGTCCAGTGACATAATCACTATGACATCTGCTGGCCATTATTATTAACTTTAATTTATCTTTTTAGAGAGGTTTTTATATAGGGCACGTATGCTCGCCAGAGAGAGACAGAGAGACAGAAAGCGAGAAATCACCCCACCCCAGGGGGGATGGCCACGCCGCAATCCCTTCTCCTCCATTCTCCTCTCGGGATCTTGGGCACGCAAGCACACGTGCCCAGCGCTGAGTTTAAGCCACCGGGTCTGGGACTCGAACTGCGGTTGACTATATGGGAGTTCAGTGACATAGTCATTATGCTAACTGCTGGTCTCAATCAGCTTCAATCTTGTCACCTTCTTGGGGACACAAGCCCCACCCTCACAAGGGCATTGGGTGTGTCCATGGGGGTGATATCCCAGCGGCCACCTGGGAGACCTGTCCGTCTGCTATCCTGGGACCAGGTGCCATTGCTGGGAGCTGCAGCTTTTCCAACAGGGGAAGTCTCAAGGTGGAAGTGAACAGGAAGCACCCAGGGTGTCCACAGGATGTCGTGGGACGTGGGCCCTCTGGCGGTGGGGTGTGTGTGTGGGGAAGACTGACCCAGCTCACTCTGAGGGGAGGGGTGCAGACCATGGGGCCGCAGGGGCCCCAGAAGGGGAGTCAGCCAGGCCCAGTGTGTCTCCCAAGCTTCTGGGTCCAGGACTTGAACCACAGTGGGCCACGTGGGACCCAGCACCTCAGCCACTACCCCACAGAATGGCCCCACACATCATGGATCGTAAAGCACAATTTTAACGCACGACACCCAGATAAAGGAGACATTTTCAATTCTGAATGTTAAAACTGAGGGAAGAATATTCTAGAAAATGGGCCAGCAAGTGGCGTGGCGAAGGTGCTGAACTCCCACATGGCCAACTATGGTTCGAGTCCCAGATCTGGAGGCTTGGAAGCCATGCTGGACACGTATGCATGTCCAAAATCCAAGGGGGAGAGGAGAATGTGGGGGGTGTTGCAAGAAGGGGGGATTTCTCACATTCCCTGTCAGCCTGTCTCATTCTGAAGAGCGCATGTGCCTTATGGCAAAAACTTAAAAATAAATATGGGACCAGCAGATGGCGTCATGGTTATGTTGCTGGACTCTCATGTAGCTGATCATGGTTTAAGACCAAGACCGGCTGGGGTAAATTCACACTGGGGGCCAGCAGGTGGCGTGGTGGTTAAGGGCACTGGGCTCATGGTTTGATTCCTGGACCTGGAGACTTGCTTTCTCATTTTCTCTCACTCTCATTCTGTCCCTCTCTGGTCAAATTAAAATAAATAAAAGTTAAATAATTCTTTAAAAAACAAAATTTCACACTGGGCATGTGTGCATTTGTGCCCAAGATCCCAAGAGGAGAATGGAGGAGAAGGGATTGCGGCGTGGCCATCCCCCCTGGGGGGGTGATCTCTCGCTTTCTGTCTCTCTGTCTCTGTTCTCCTGGTGAGTGCATGCACCCTAGTGAAAACCTCTCCAAAAAAAAACCCACAAGAAGTCCGGGCAACGCTCCAGTATCAGCCTGTGGGTGAAAGGGGATGACCCGGTGGGGCCCAGCTCGGCCATTCAGGCCAACCCGAAGCCCCTGGAGGTTCCGGAAACAGGGACCCCGGCACAGGGAGGGCGCTGTTTGCTTGCTGAGGACGCAGCTGGCTGCAGGCAGCAAGAGCTGGCCTGGATTCTGGCAGGAAACGACCGATAGTCCCTCGCGGCTTTAGGTCAACGTTTAATTTCGAACTTTAATGTGCAAATAAATAGAAAAGGAGGACTACATTCAGAACAGCTGCGAGGGAAGGGCAGGCCCCAGAACAGAGTCCTCAAAACGGAAGAGACGCTCCCTAGAAGCATGCGGGGTTCGAGAGGGGCTGCAGGGAAGGGCATGGCGGAGTCTCAAGGTGCCACCGGGCCCAGATGGCTCCACCCTGGGGACAGGCCAGGCACAGAAAGGGCCGTGGGCTTGGCGAGGATCACCGGCGGCCCGGAGGACCTGGCTGAGGAATCCGGGTAGTCCAGGGACCTCCTTTGCAAAGAAAGATGGTACCCAAGTGCCCCTGACCCACCTGCACTTGGGGAGAACCAGGGGGCGGCCTGGGCCGGGCCTCAGCCTTGGAATCGCTGGGGCCCGAAGTCGAAGGCGTCGGGAGTCTCGGGTTCCACGGGAAACTTCTAGAAACACGCTTCTGCTTCCCGAGATCATGAGTTTGTCGCATCTCTGCTGTGGGCGGATGGGGGCGATGGCCGGACAGAGGCAGCTTGTGGGTTGCGGGGGATCACCAGTCTGTGGCGGGATTGGGGGGCTCTCTTGGTGGTTTAGAGAGAGTTTGAGAGAGCTGGGATTCTTGGCACAGAAAGTCCTGGGTGGCTCCGAAGGGAAGAAAGCGACCCATGGGGCACCCACGGTGTGGGTCCTGGGACGGGCAGAGGTTGGGCTGCCCAGCTCCTTGGGTGGCAGCTGCAGGAACTGGGGTATTGGGGCAGATTCATGGGGGTTCGGAGAGAGAGATCTCCCCCCCAAGAAGCCTCGGGACTGGGCCTCACAAAAGTTACAACCACTAAGAGGACGTAAAGGAATAAATAGATGCGTGTGCGTATATGTTTCTAGAATGTTCACTTCGGGTGCATGACCCTGACCCTGGGCCTGTCCGGGGCGGGGCCGCGCAGGCCTGGAGGGAATGTCGGAGGAGCCCTCTCCGAACCCTCTCCCCTCACGGGCTCAGCCCGGCTGCCCGATCCACACCTGGCATGGCGTCTGTCATCCAGACCGGGGTCTTCGACGGCAGGTTTTGTCGCGACGTCAGGATGGGACCCCGAGGGTTTGGCTTTCGGAGTGACCACTGGGTCAAGCTGACACCTGAACCGTGGGGCGTCTCTGGTGGGTCTCAGGACACTTGGAAGGATTCACTTTTCAAGTGACTCCACTCAGGGCCCGGCCCCTCCTTCGCAAAGTCCCTTGGACGCGAACCTTGTCCTGTGACGTTTCCAAAACACCATACGGCCACAGGCCTGGTGGTGCCTCCCGTCAGCCCAGGGGTTTGGCACGTGACAGAGGCGGCCAGGGCAGGCGTGCCCACAGGGTCCCGTCCTTTGGCCGGCTCGTTCGCCCTGCCCAGCGAGGCGGAGGCGGAGCCCCAGGTGCAAGGTTGGTGGATTCAGGTTTGGCACAGGACAGGCCCCAGGGAGGCCAAGGAGCCGCTGGGGACCGGCAGGGCCCTGCTCCAAGCTCGGCCCCTGCACAGTGGCGGGCTGGGGCCCCGAGAGCCGTGGTGCCCCGTGGCCCTGGCCCAGCGGCGAGGGGGGGCCGGGCAGGGGCGGGCCCGGCTCTGTCGTGGACGCGGTAGCGGGTCACGGGCAGGCCGTGCACGTGCGCCGTCTCGCAGAGCGTCTTGCAGGGCACCATGTCCTCGTCCTCCTCACCCATCAGCCAGTCCTGCACCAGGCTGGCGGGCTCCCCTGTCCTCCAGCCAGCGGCCGTGCCACTCCTCGAAGTGCTGGTGGTGACGCAGGAGCACCAGGGGCTGCACCTGCGGGGACAGGGCTGAGGTCAGGGTGGCGGGCAGCCGGGACGGCGTGGCAGGCCCCAGGTCCCACGGGGCAGGCAGGGAAGGCCGGGTGCCCCAGGACGGCGTGGGCCAGGCCCTGAACCTCTGAGATGTGAGGGGCACTCTGAGCAGGCTAGGCAGCCCCAGGGTGTGGGCTGGTCCCTAAGATGTGAAAGGGGAACTAGGACGGCCCAGGCACCCCAGGACGGCGTGGGCTGGACCCCAGGTCCCTGAGGTTCATGGGGTAATAGGGACGGCTCAGACACCCCAGACCCGAGACACGAGGGGCTGGTCCAGGTGGCCCAGCACCCCCGAGGCGGGGCGGAGGGGGCACCTGCTTGGCGCGGCAGAGGGTGCCACGGCGGTACATGTAGTCCTCGGAGTTGACGATGAACACCATCTTGTGCGTGCCCAGCCGGAAGCGGCAGTCCACGTCGCACGCGCTCTCCACCCCGATCAGCCGCTTCCACGACCTCTTGGCCTCGCCGCGCAGGGCCCGCACCTGCTCACACTGCCACCGCCGGAACTTCTTGAGGTTCCTGGGGGCCGGGGGCGGCGTGACGGACGCCAGGCAACGGGAAGGAGAGGACGGTTTGCTGGCGGGAAAGCCTTGAGGCCCCCACGAACACGCCTCCCAGGTGGGAGTTGGGAAACGCAAGGTGAAGAGACAGGAGCCACCACCCCGGGGCCAGCAGGTGGTGTGGACATGAAGGTGCTGGATCCCACATGGCGGGCCTTGCGGTTTGAGTCCCAGACCCGGTGGCTTAAAAGTCACGCTGGGCAGGTGTGTGCGCCCCAAATCCCAAGAGGAGATGGAGGAGGAGGGACTGCAGCACGGCCATGCCCCATGGGGGTCATTTTTTAGTGTCCCTCTCTGTCCCTGCCAAGGGCATGCACCTTGTCCCAAATAACCCCGCCTGAGATGCTTTGGAATCTGGCCCCTCACCTGTCTCTGATCTTGGAAGTTCTAGAAGCTTCTTCTAGGCCATAGAAGTCCAGGGCCGTATGCTCACTGCCTCCGCCTACCTACCCACCCACGGCCTTGACCTGACCCCTCCACACCCTCGGTGGGTGTCACAGGGGTGCACCCTGGCTGGGACTCCTGTGGGCTCCCCTGGGCCACCCTGGGCTCACTGCTCTGCTCGGCCCAGATCCTGAGCCTCGAGGGAGCAGGGCCCCAGATGGCCGTTCGGCTCCATGCCCGAGCGGGGCCTCACCTCTGCAGGAACACGGGTTTCAGCCCTCGGTGGGTGAGCTGGACGCGCCCTCGGTCCGCACGTACTGCTCCACATACCGGGCCAGGTGCTGGTGGGGAGAGCGAGGGCTGACTCCCCCGCACCGGGCCGTGGGCCGCTCGCCCCAGACCCTGTGCTCGGGGGGCCCTTTGCCCTTATTGCGTAAGGAGCCTAGAGGCCCAATCTGCGATGGAGGCCACCTCACTCCAGCTCTCCATGGAGGACTTGGCCGTAGAGACCACGCACAGCCAGGCTGGGACCGAGACAAGTGACAGCCGCACCTCTCGCCGTAGTGCCTCGATCCAGGCTGGGCACCGATGCCTCTGAGGAGTCCCATGGGGGCAGGGGCTGCTCACAGGGACCGTGGGACCGGGACACAGAGGCGTGAAGAGGGAGAGACCAGCAGCGTGGGAGTGAGGCGCCTGCCCTGGGACGTGCGGCTGGGAGGTGCCAGCTCATGCCCCGAGGCCTCCCCGAGAGAGCTGGGGACAGGCTGCAGCGCTGGGCCCTGCTGGGGCTGCTGTCCCCCTGTCTCCCTCCACTGCTCATTGAAGAAATCAATACACGGGGACCAGCAGTTGACGAAACGGCTACGTCGCTGGACTCCTAGGTAGCTGACTGCGGTTTGAGTCCCAGACCTGGTGGTTTAAACTCACGCCGGGTGCGTGTGCGTGTGTGCCCAAGATCCCGAGAGGAGAAGGGATTGTGGCACAGCTGTCCCCCCGGGGGGTGATTTCTCACTTTCTTGTCTCTCTGGTGAGTAAATGCCACATAGAAAAAAATCTCTCTCTAAAATAAACAAGTCAAGACATAAACCGCAGGGGGAGGGCGCTCTGAGCGGACAAGGTGCTGGGCTGGCGTGTGTGGTGGGGCTCTCGGGGTGGGAGCCCGTCCTCACCTGGACCTCCACGGGGTCCTCAGTCTGGGCCTCCTCGGTGTCCAGGAGCTCGATGGTCATGATCACCTGCCCTTTGCGCTGGAGGAACATCACCTGGGACGGGAGTGGGGGACAGGCTGAGGCGCCAGGCCTTAGTCGCGGCCTCCTCCGCGGCCCCGGGTGTGCCCAGGCTCGGCGACAGCCCTCCCCGGCGTCCCAGAGCTACGCCAAATGGTGCATGCGTTTTCGGAGACCGCCCAGTGGCCACAGCAGGGTCCGGCCAGGCACGACTGCAGAGCCGAGTGTCCGGGCCGGCCTCCGGCCTCTCACCTTGAAGCAGTTCTCGTCGGCCATGCAGCGCTCCGCCTTCCACTGGTAGCTGGTCTCCCTGGCAGCGCGGACGCAGCGGGAGGACAGGTTCCCGCCGGCGGCCCCCCGCTTCTTCTCGCTCAGGTAGAGCTCCACCACCTTCAGACAGACGTCGTCGCTCACGAGGTGGTGCAGCTGGTGGGAGGACAGGACTGGGTGCCCGCGCCCTCCCGCCACCCCCCATGGAGCCTAGAAGGCCGCGGCGTCTCACGAGGTGGTGCAGCTGGTGGGAGGACAGGACTGGGTGCCCGCGCCCTCCCGCCACCCCCCATGGAGCCTAGAAGGCCGCGGCGTCTCACGAGGTGGTGCAGCTGGTGGGAGGACAGGACTGGGTGCCCGCGCCCTCCCGCCATCCCCCCATGGAGCCTAGAAGGCCATGGCGTCTGAGCCAGGCTGAGTCAGGCCGCGCGAGAGCAAACCAGACCGAACCAACCAGGCCAGAGAGGCCGGACCACGGCCTCCGGGTACCTGCTCAGATCAGAGCAAACCAGACTCAAACTGGACCAAGCCACTCTTGGGATCTTGGACATGCGTGCACACACGCTCAGCATGAATATAAGCCGCCAGGTCCGGGACTCGAACCATGGTCAACTACATGGGAGTCCAGCAACATAGCCATTACGCCAACTGCTGGTCCCCTCTGGCTTTCTCTATCTCTCTGTCTTTCCAGCAAACACATGTGCCCTATAGCAAAAATCTCGCTTACAAAAAAAAGAAACAAAAAACAACCCAGATCAAGCCAGAGCAGACCAGACTGAAACAAAACAGACCAGACTAGACCGGATCAGAGCAAATCCGACCAAACCAGGCCAAACCGGGCCAGCCCAGCAAACCCTGTCTGGGTTTCTGTGTGAAAAACACACAGAAAGGGACCAGCAGTGGCGTAATGGCTATGTCGCTGACTCCCATGCAGTCGGCCATGCCCAAGAGCCCGAGAGGAGAATGGACAAGGGACTGCGGCATGGCCATCTCCCCGGGGGGTGACTTCTCGCTTTCTGTCCCTATGTCTCTCTCATGAGCACACAAGCCTTATATCAAAACTCTCTCTCTTAAATAATAAAAAAAAAAACAAACAGAAAAGTTGCCTGGGATTGAAACACCAGCTTGTCACAATACCCCGTCAACAGTGACAACCCACGGGTCTGTCACAGGATGACTGGCTAAACAATGCATACATGCACACGGTGAAATACTACGCAGCCATGAAAAGGAAGGACCCTGACCCAGGCTACAATGTAGATGAGCCTCGAACATGTGACACTGAGTGAGAGAAGCCAGACACCAAAGGCCACACAGTGTGGGATCCGCTGATGTGACATGTCCCCAACAGGCAGGTCATAGAGACAGGAAGTGGACTGGTGGTTGTCAGGGGGTCGGGGAGGGGGATGAGAACGTTCTAGAACTAGACAGAGCTGGTTGCACAACACCCTGGGTGTACTAAATGCTACATGACTGCACACTTTAAATATGGAATTTTTCCAAAAAAAAATTATTTTACCTTATTTATGATCATTATTTTTAAACTTGATATAGGGCATGAGCACTTGCCAGAGAGAGACAGAGAAAGGGAGAGAAAGAGGGAAAGTGAGAAAACAAGCCCTCCACATCTAGGACTCGAACCACCATTGACCATGTGGGAGTCCAGTGCCTTAGCCACTATGCCACCCGCGGGACTCTAAGTGGCGAATCTCATGGGATATAAACTTCACCTTAATCTAAAAAAACAAAAGGGCTGGCAGGTCACTAAGGGCAGTGGACTCCCACATGGCCGACTGCGGTCTGCGTCCCGGTTCTAGCGGCTTGCTTTCTCTCTCTCTTTCTCTGGTCAAGTAAAATGCATAGATAAATCAATAGAATTAAATAATTCTTAGAATTTATTCATTCATTACATTTTTTAAGAGACTTATTTATTCATTCATTCATTCATTCATTTCAATTTGACCAGAGAGAGAGAGAGAAAGTGAGAAAACAAGCCACCAGGTCCGGGACTCGAACCGTGGTCGCCCATGTGGGAGTGTCCAGTGCCTCAACCACCATGCCACCTGCTGGCCCCTAAAATAATTCTTTAACAACAACAACAACAAAAGTACCAACCAGAGGGCCGATCTCCCGCCGTGGGGGTGAAGGAAGGGCCGATTTCCAAAGTCCTAACAGAGGAGCCCGGCTGGGGGCGGGCCGACCCGCGCGCATGCTCACACTGACCTGCCGCGCGATGTTCTGCACCAGCTTGTCCATGGTGAAGCCGATGTAGGCGTGGATGGTGAACATCTCGCGCAGCGTGTCCTCGTACTGCGTGGGGTCGATGCTGCCCTCTAGCAGGCTCCGCACCATGTCCAGGAAGGCCGGGTAATACTCCTCCAGCTCCACCTCACCTGGGGGGCAGGACGGCACGGCCTCACTCCACCCGCCCCACGCCGGCCCTGGGAGGCCAGGCCGAAGGTCCTCGCCCTGAGAAGCCCCCATGGGGCCTGGCTGAGCCCCCCACCAGGTCAATCTGGAATTGCCTCCCACCACCCTCCACGAAGCTGCCTAACCTGGGGCCCTGGCTCAGCCCTGTGACTCAGGTTGGCATTAAGACTGCCAGCAGGTGGCGTGGTTGATACGGCGCTGGACAAACAAACAGCCAACTGCAGTTCGAGCCCCAGACCTGGCGGCTAGCTTTCTTACTTTCCCTCTCTCTCTGACTTTTTGGTGGGCAAATATGCACAGCAGCAAATTAAAAAAAAAAAAAAAGATAAAAAGGCCTACGGAACTCAGATGTGGTGGTATTTTTTTTCCCTCTGGGAGAGGTTCTTGCTATAGGGTGCATGTGTGCTCACCAGAAACAGAAAGTGAGAAATCACTCTCCGGGAGGGATGGCCACGCCACGATCCCTTCTCCTTTATTCTCCTCTTGGGATCTTGGGCACGCACGCACACATGCCTGGCGTGAGTTTAAGCCACCGGGTCTGGGTCTTGAACTGTGGTTGGCTACATGGGAGTCCAGTGACGTAGCCATTATGGTAACTGCTGGTCCCCATGGTGGCTTTTTAATTTTAGCTACAGGGCGCATGTGCTCACCGGAGAGAGAAACAGGCAAGGGGCTGGATCATGAGAAATCACCCCCTACACAGTGGGGTGGCCACACCCCAATCCCTTCTCCATTCTCCTCAGGATTTTGGGCGCACACACACACACACACACACACACACACACTCCTGGTATGTTTTTCAAGCTGCCACGTCCAGGACTTGAACTGTGCAGTTGGCCACGTGGGATCCAGAAACCATATCTCTATGCCACCTGCTGGCCCAAGGTAGCTTTTTTTTTTTTTTTTGGAGAGGTTTTTTGCTATAGGGCGCATGCGCTTGCCAGAAAGAGACAGAAAGCAAGAAATCACTTCCCGGGGGAATGGCCACGCCGCAATCCCTTCTCCTCCATTCTCCTCTCGGAATCTTGGGCATGCACGCACACGCGCCCGGCATAAGTTTAAGCTACCGGGTCCGGGACTTGAACTGCGGTCAACAACATGGGAGTCCAGCAACATGATAGACCCTCACGGTGGCTTTCTTTACTGGCTGGGAAAGGCTGGTGAGAAGCTGCAGCGGCCAGGGTGGGGCTGGCGGATGTGGTTCCCTGGTCTGGACTGGGTGTCACCCACGGTGAGGAGAGGCAGGGCGAAGGGTCCGTGGGAATCTGGACTAAGCTGGTGACTTCCTGTCTGATTTCCCCTTTACGCTGGGTTGTCAAAAAAGCCATGATTCATTTTTGTAATATAAAAACAGAAAATTTAAAAAAAGTCAAGACTTTCCTGATGACCCAGTAACTAGGGGCCAGCCTGGGATGCAGAGGCAATGCCGATCTGCAGTGCTGGACCCGTTTGAGCAGGTCCTGGGTTCGTGTCCTGGGTCTCCCTGCACATGTCAGATACACGTATGTCCCTGTGATTCAAGCTGGCTAGGCATGAACACTGGCCTGAGGAGCCTGCTGGGGTGCCTCTTTCTCTTTCATGGGGGAACAAAAGCTTTAAAAAAATAAAAGGTACAGGACCAGCAGTTGGCGTAATGGCTATGTCACTGGACTCCCACGTAGTCGACCGCGGTTTGCATCCTGGACCCGGTGGCTTAAAACTCACGCACGCGTGTGCGTGCGTGCCCAAGATCCCGAGAGGAGAATGGAGGAGAAGGGATTGGGGCATGGCCATCCCCCTAGGGGGTGATTTCTCGCTTTCTGTCTGTCTCCTCTCTCTGTCTGTCGGGCAAGAGCACGTGCCCTATAGCAAAGACCTCTCCAAAAAAAAAGAAAAAAGAAAAAAAGAAAAGGTACTACCAGAAGTCTACAGAGAGCTTGTATGAAACGTGTATGCAGACTGCAAAAAAACCCGAGACTGGGGACCAGCAGGTGGTATGGTAGTTGAGGCAAAGGACACTCCCACATGGCTGACCATGGTTCGAGTCCCAGACCTGGTGGCTTGCTTTCTCACTTTCCCCCCTCTCTCTTTCTCTCTCTGGTCAAATTAAAATGAATGAATGAATAAACAAAAATGAAATAAAGTAATAAAGTAAGTTTAAAAAAACAAAACAGAAAAAAAACCATGGGACTTTTCATTCCATTTTCCCATGAACTTTTTGAAAGGGTGTGTACTTACTTTGAAATGAAAAATCGGAAAGACGGGTCAGTCAGTGACGTGGTAAGGCACCTGGACCCCACAGGGCTGACTGTGTGTTTCATCCCAAACCCAGGATTGAAAAATTACGCTGAGCACGCGTACACGCAGGCCCAGAACCCTGGGAGGAGATGGGACTGTGGTGTGGACAGCCCCCAAGGAGTTGAATTCTCACTTCCCCTCTCTAGGCAACATACATGCCCTACAGCAAGTTAAAAAAAAAAAAAAAAACGACAAAAACATTTGACCAGCAAATGGCACAGTGGTTGAGGCGCTAGACTCCCACGTGGCCGACCATGGTTCGAGTACTAGACCCGGTGGCTCAAAAATCATGTCAAGTGTGTGTGCATGTGTGCCCAAAATCCCAGGAAAAGGGGTTATGGCGTGGTGAACCCCTGGGCGGGTGGCATTTCACTTTCTTTCTCTGCCTGTCTCTATCCGACAAGCACGTGCATATGCACTCTTTAATAAAAAAAAAAAAAAAAAAACCCAGGAAAAAAAAAAAAAAAAAAATAGCCAGGGCTGGCAGGTGGCATGGTGGTTATGGTGCTGAACTCCCATATGGCACACAACAGTTCGATTCCCAGACCCGGTGGCTTGCTTTCTTACTTCCTCTCGCTCTCGCTCTCACTTTGTCTTTGGTCAAATTAAAAACTAAATGAATGAATATATAAAATAAATAATTATATAAATTAATTAAATAAATATAAATTTAAAAAGACCCCAAAAAACAACATGTCCGGGGACCAACAGATGGCATAATAATGGTTCCGTCGCTGGGTTCCCACATCGTCAACTGCAGTTCGAGTCCCGGACCCAGCGGCTTCAAACTCACGCCAGGCGCGTGTGTGTGCATTTCCAAAATCCCAACGGAGACTGGAGAAGGGATTATGGCATAGCCACCCCCACCCCGGGGGGTGATTTCTCACTTTCTGTCTCTCTGGCAAGCGCACATGCCCAATAGGAAGAAACCTCTCAAAATAAAACAAAACAGCAGACACTTATTTCCTCACAGTTCTGGAGATTGGAAGTTCACATCAGGGTATCAACATGGTCAGGTTCTAGTGAGGACTCTCATTCTGGCTTGCTGTTCTCACCA